TCTGGCTGTCATGTGATTTATTTATTTATTTATATGCTGACTTCCTATTCAGTTGTTATGGAGGATGCTACAGACTGAGAGTGGTCTCAGTCAAATACTCAGCTCACCAGTCTTCTGATTTGTCACAGAGGGTTTGGATTTTGACCCTTCAGGACTGTCATTGAAGGAAAATAAAACAAGTGCTTTGGGGCTTTGAGGTCTACCTACCTCCTATTTTTGTGCCTTTTTCTCCATGGAACTGTTCCAGTCCTTCAGTGTTCCAATTCTCTTTGATCTCTCTGCCTCTTCCCTATTTTTCAAGTCTGTTAATCTGTTTACAGATCCTCTCCAGCATTTTGGAAGCAATATGACTTCATCTTCATTGTGTGCGATAATGACTTATGTTGTCTCTCCAGGGACACTTGTGTTTTGATAGCACAAAATCCATTAACCTACAAGGAGATTTCAGACAAAAGTGTGGGAGTAGACTGGGTAATTCCTGTAAGAGTGGGGCCCATGCTGCATCTTCCAAATCACCATTTGTGGAGGCTCTACCTCCTAGTCACCCATGGCTAGTCTTGCTTCACTATATCTAGATATTCCTAGACCTGCCTGAAAAACAGCCAATGCAAATGACTATCAAATTAATTTATATTTGGGAGATGGCGAATCTTTTTGAGATTTTTGTTTAAGAACCATGATTAAATACACCTATGCATGCATATACAAATTTTACATAAAATTTCACAAGAGGTCACCAGGCTATAGCTCATCTTGGAATCCCCGCATTTGAGAAAGCTCAGTAGTTGGAGGATAGACACCTAGAACTGAAGTTCCACAGTGATCTGAGGCAAGTTGCCTACATTTCGTGAATGTGGAACTGTGAACTCAGTGGAACTGAGATATTACCCACCACATCCACCTAGAATGTGTCTAACCCAGGGGATGGGAGAATGTTGTTCTGAGAAATCTTCATAGACAAGCTGTTATGCCCAAACCAGTGTTGTGAACCATGAGACAAGGAAACCTGTGACATAACCTCTGGCTCCAGTGTTCTATATAACTTTGAGGCTTGACTCCAGAAATTCTACCCATGAGCATACATGGAGAAGTACAGGAGAGAAGAGGAGGAGAACAGCAAGAGCATGGCCATGGCTTTACCTCTCTTACCTCCCTGACTCATCAAATGGATGAAACTGGTAGGAAGGGAGTAGAACCCTTTTGGGATGGGAGAAGATTTATCCAATTTTGAGAGGATAAAGAAAGATAAAGAATCTAATTTACCTTTTTTTTTTAAAAAAAATTAGAGCTAATGTACTTTACATATGGTATGTACAGAATAAATGCTTTTTTGACTAAATACATTTATTTCTCATGTTTTTTTTTTAAAACTAAATAATTATGATGAGCTTCTGCTTTCCCACTTTGGTTGAGAATCGCCAATACTATCTAAGGTTTTATTTTGCTGAAATCATTGAAATAATATTAATTTGTCAAAATTCAAGGAATATTTGCTAAGCTTTTATTATGTGCTTGACATGGTAGTGTTGTCAAAGACAATGGAGATTTCTGAAGAGAGTTCATAGTCCTGTGCTAATACCAAAAGTATTCGTGAATACAGCTATTTTAAAAAATGACACTGCATTTATGATTTTCTTTCCCATTCGAGAAGGTGAGATATGTACCTTTATAAGACAAATGGTTAAAAATATCTTTTATTATTCTCTGGTTTGGACTTCCCAGAGTTTTTCTGGCTGGTTGCTCTTGTTACCTCATGTGAAAGGCCAGTCATGTAAGTGACTTTAGGTTGGGAGGCAGCCCACTTGGAGTTCCCTGAGAGAGGACATGTCGTAGAACTGAGTCGGTGTCTCCAACCGCTTTATCTGCCTGTCCATCATTACATGAATAAAAGTATAATGTAAAATCCTGCTTGCCTGAAGACAGTGATAACCCTGGACACCAGAGAGTGTCAAAGAGTCAAAGTAATAAGACTATACATTGCTCTGTCACTGTTTGCGTTCAAAACTATTTTGATTCAGAAGATAAAAATTGCTTCAAATACTGGAATCCTCTCTTAGAAACCTTACAACTGACTGAGTATCAAAAAGACTACTTTTTACTCATGATAGCAGTTTTTTTTTTTTTTTTTTTTTCCCTAAGGTTTTTGGCACAGAGTGCATGTGCTCACTGGAGAAAGAGAGGAGAGAGAGAAAGAAAGAGAGAAGTGAGAACTCATGCCCTAGGGGGGATGGCCATGCCATAATCCCTCTTTCTCATTATCCTCTTGAGACTTGGGACAGATGTTTAACTAACTGAACTTAGTGACTAAGTGGGTGTTAGGGGAGAAATGGATGGAGTCAAAGATAGCTCTAAGGTTTGCTCAGTCAGTAAATGGTCTGTCAGTAAGACGGGAGACAGTGAGGTTCAGTGGAGTAGGGGTTTTACTTGGGAGTGAAGATGTTGAAATCCATTTTGGACATATCAGATTTGATGTTCAATAAGTAGCAGTTTGAAAAGATGTGTTTAGAATATTGTAGATTGGAGTATATGAAAGATGATTACGTTTTGTAAAATGTTTTGCTAGAAAAGAAATTAGAGTTATGCACTAAACTGTTAATATGATTGTATTTTGTTACTATAGTTAATTTGTATTCCTTTCTTTTTTACTTTTTTTGGAATTACTTGAAGTGTTTATAAGGAGTAACATTATTAATTTTGTAATGGCATTAATGTAGGTAGACTTTCAATGCTTCTAAGTTTAATTGACTGAACTTAGTGACAAAGTGACAAAGAATGGATCCCCATTCTTTAATTCATGGCAAGTTCAACACTTTTCACATCAAGTCTAAGAAATTAGGAGTTTCTCATTAAATTAGTTTACTTTATGGATTGTCTAAAATCTTATGAGCACTGTTTCTCTGTACCTCACTTATCCAGATGTTGAATTAGCATTTCTCTTATTTTGAGAAGGAGGGTTCAAAAAACAGGCTAGTAGGGGACTAGCAGTTAGCATAATGGCTATATTGCTGGACTCCCATGTAGTCAACTATGATTTGAGTCCCGGACCCAGTGACTTAAATTCACACTGGGCATGTGTGTGTGTGCATGCCCAAGATCCTGAGAGGAGAATGGAGGAGAAAGGATTGTGATGTGGCCATCTCTCCTGGGGAATGATTTCTCACTTTCTGTCTTTCTGTTTCTGTCTGTCTTTCTGGAGAGTGCATGCACCCTATAGCAAAAACCTCTACAAACAAACAAAAAACAGGCTAGTAAAGGTTCATTGTTAATACCAGGATTTACTGAAATTGGAGGATCCTGGGGCTTTACATTGCAGATATGCAAATAACTTACATTGGCCTAGGGACACCCTTTGTTTTAGAGTCCCCCAGTCATTTCTGCCCATTCAGCCTCAGTTCATGACTTATCTCTGCTTCTCCTCTGGGGAATACTTCTCTTCCCCTCGTTTCCCAAATTCTTCCCATTATCTTAAGGAAATAAGTTGAATCCTCCTTATGTCTGCTCCCTCGTTCCAGATTTTCTCCTGGGTCTTATTTTTTTTACACTCAAGTGACCCAATAGAGTAACTTCTTAAACCAAGACAGTTTCATCCTTAGGAATAATTTTGGTTCTAGCCTTTGATATGATTCTTTTTACTCTGCAATAATTGATTTAAAGAAGATTTAAAAATAACTAATAATATTGAAAGTCATGAAGTAAGATGAGACCATCTGTGAAAGGTACACAGTGAAAAGGAAATAAAGCCTTCAGGAGTGTTATAGTGAGGGGTAGAGTGGAGGGATAGAGAACCCAGGGAGTAAGATAAGGGAACATGGGGTAAGAGAATCAGGAGAGCATAGAATCAAAACTAAGGAGGTGAGAACTTTAAATGATGGAAATTAAATCTCAAGAGATAGACTTCCAGAGGATGAAAGTTGAGACAAAGTCATTGGGGCTGTTGGATTCAGGACAGAGGTACTAGTAGGGCCCAGACCCAGGGCCCTTGATTTGACTGTCACACTCAATAGAGGGTCCGCCACTGCCTTCAAGAACAGAAGCACTCCAGAAATTCTGAAATAACCCTTTAAAACAGTGGCGGGGAACCAGGAGGTGATCTGGTGATTAAGGTACTGAATCCTATATATCTGACTCTGCGGTTCAAGTTCTGAATCCAGCAGCTTGAGAAACATGCCAGGTGTGTGTGTGTGTGTGTGTGTGTGTGTGTGTGTGTGTGCCTCAAATCTTGAGAGAATGAAAGAGAATGGATTATGGTGTGGCCATCCCCCCCAGGGGGTGGTGATTTTTTTACTTTCCCTCTCTATCTGAAAAAACCCCACAGCAACAAAACAGTGGTGGTGCACAGTGTGGGCACTCCTGGAGAACCTCTTAGCATTGAACTTGACTTGGTTGAGTGTATTCCCAGCGCCCCTGGGGATTCTCCTAAGAGTCAGGCTGTCTTTGTGCCTTTCTTGGATCCCTGCTATTAGCGTTACAGCCTCAGATATCAGCTTCCCATAGTCATCTGGCCCCATGGCAGGGATTTGTAGTAGAGCACGTGGGCTCCTGCCTCTACTTTGTCTTGACTGAGACCTCAGGCAAGCACTTTGTCTCCTGGACACCCTTTGCTTATTTGTTAAACGATAAAGAATGTAATTATACATGCACTTGCGCCTCCCAGGGTCAAGGTTGACATGAGAAAACGTGTAAGAGTAAGTGTTGTATTAAATGCTGTTGACTCAGACTGCCTGGGTTTGGCCATCACTATGTTTCTTACGAAATATGTGACCTTGAGCAAGTTACTTCATTTGGGTGACTCTCAGTTCCTTCGTGTGTAAGTGGGGATAAGAATTATACCTACCTCATAAGACTGTTGTGAACTTTCAATGAGTTAGTATATATAAAGGCCATAGAGCAAACTGTGGCAAATAATAAATGCTCTCTCTCTATATGTGTGTGTAAATATATATATATACACACACACATATATATACATATATATATATATTTAAAAGCTATTTTTATTACCACTATTATGAGGAGAGTTTAAAAAGTTCATTAAAAATGTGATTAAACAATGAGTACATTTTGGCACAAAAAGTTTTCAATTAGCATTACTCACGCCTTGGATAAACCTCATTGGCTACGATACTGCCACTGCGCAAAGCTTGGCACAAAAAGTTTTGAAATCCACAAATAGTTTTTTCACAGAATGCGTTTTTCATGAGCTTTTCGAAGACCCCCTTGCATTATACAATTAATAATGTGTTTATCCATATATGCTATTTTTGTTCCCCAAAGGATCTGAGTCAAAGGCTTATGCAATACAGAGGGATGACAGATCAGAAGTAGATAAGAAAGCTGGTTGTTTCTTCCATTTCCATGCTCTTACCTCCCTTCTGCAACCACCTTCCATTGTGTGTGATGTCTCCTGTAGTTTGATTCTGCCCTTGCCAGACATAACTTGAATCAGTTTGCTGCAGCTCCTGGCTCCCTCCTCTACCCAGAATGAATCCTACATTCCATCCAGCTCTGTTTTGGGCCAGAATGTGGTTAGTGAGGAAATGGAAGGAGACCAACAGAGCTCTCAGTTCAGCAAGGCAGGCTGGGGAGAGCGACTCTTTAAGGAAGGAGACACAGCAGAGTGTTGGGAGGCCAAGGAGAAGGTGCTTGTGGAGATGAAGAGATGGAGGTGCTTTCAAGAGAGGGCAATTGATTGAAGGAGTGCCTACAGCAGGCAGGAGGGGATGGATTCCAGAACACAGGTCTTTGAGAACCAAGTTGGCCAGAGTTTTAAAACAGCCTTCATAAATCAAGTGAAATAAAGCTGTCTTCCTTTGCAGTCTAGCATGACCAAAATATCTCTCAGCGTAGCTCCTCTTTTTGTCTCCACCCACCTGAAGGTAAGTAAGGTCAGTTCTAAGCAAAACTGGGAAGTCTGGGGAAGTCTGTCAAAAATACATCCTCTTCTCTGGGCTGACTCTGTAGTGCAGTGATTAAGCACCGTGTGGAGGAAGCTGGATCCCACGTGGCTGATCAGGGTTCAAATCTGACCCCAGTGGCTTGAAAAACACACCAGGTGCATGTGTCTGTGTGCCCAGGATCATTATAGGAAGAAGAAATGAAGGAAAGGGGATTTCAGCATGACCAGACCCCACGAGGACACTTTCTTACTTTCTCTCTCTGGTTTGTACACTCACTCTCTGGTATTTAAAAAATCTATCTATCTATATCTATGTATCTATGTATCTATCTATCTATATCTATCATCTATCCATCCTTAGATATACACATGTGTGTGTGCACATGTGTATGTATCCTCTCCTTCTCCATCCCCCTGTCTCCTGCCCTATACTGTTTGAGCCATCTTTCCTTCTATCTCTAGGCCTGGGGCTGCCTCAGGCTCAGGTCTGACATACCAGGCTCCAGAGCCAGTCAACCCTGGTCAAGTCCAATTGTCTGGCAGGAGTGCACCTGGATCCAACCCATATCTCCATTCTGACAAGAGGAAACAAAGATTCAGGTAGGGTGACAGGTAGGGTGAATATAAAGCTCAAAGATGCACTGACAAAAAGTGGCAGAGGCACAATTAAAACCCAGGACTCCTGATGACAGATCCATAAGTCCGGGGGGTCTTTCTGCTCTCCCCTGCAGAATTCCCACTGGTTATCTTCAGCCACCTTCACTGAACTCCTCCTGCTTTGGCAAACTTTTTCTGTGGCTCATATGATCTTGTCAATCCTTGGGGCTGAGTGTCTTCTCCTTTTCCAGGCACCAATATCCTTTTTCGTGTGACCTTTCCTACTAGCAGGCCCATCGCCCTATACCTTCTCAAATGCTTTGCTGCCTCTGAATCATCAACAATGTCCCAGACTTTGCTTTTTCCCAAGCCAATTGCTAGGAGACACAATTTTACCTCCACTCTCTTAAAGTTTTTTTTTTGTTTGTTTGTTTTGACAAGACCTGAGACTTAAAATTGATATAAAACAGATAAATAGAAAAACATGCAAATTTGTTTAATACAAGTTTTACATGGCACTGGAGCCTTCATAAGGAAATAAAGGCTCAAAGACTCAAGAGTTGAGTGCTTGTGTACTGAACTGGAAAAAAGATCATGAAGACCCAGTTAGATTTGAATGCGAATGTACGGAATTGGACACGGAGTGGTGAATTGTGCCAATGTGACCAGGCAAAAATGGTTAGGCTCGGGTAATTAATTGGGCAGAGAAGTGGCTAGGAAGATGAGGGTTCATTTAACCAGGTCTGGGCAGATTTCCCTCTGCCTCAACTTTCTGTGCTTGATGATAAGAATGGTACTCTCCTTCTGGTGTAGGGAGGACATCTTTCATGTGGAAATTTCATCTCCTATTTTTAAAAAGAAGGGTGATCTGTTAGCACCTGCTGTTTTTCAAGTGCCTTTAACTCAAAATAGTCCATATGTGAGAGTGGCATTTTGGGGTCTGTGGTCTGAATTTCTTCACCACCAAGCACACAGAGGCCATTTTTGCAACTTTTGGACTGATGCCTTCTGTTTCATCACTCTGTGGTTTTGGCTTTGCTCTAAATCCCCAACTTTGGAAATCTCTAAATATTCTCTCCTCTGAACCAACACATGAGGAGCTGAGAGGAACAGTGAAAAAAAAAAATCATGTCGTTTGGCCAATTGGTGAGCCTCCCATTTCCAACAACCAGCCTCGCCGGGGAGACCCTCTGCTTGGACCTTTCCCCTGACCCTGTCAGTTCTGTTTCACTTGCTACTCCAATATTCCATCTCTATTTTTGGGATCCCTTCTGTGCTCAACTCTCTGACTCTCATTTGATGAATTTGCCTTTTTTTTTTTTCTTTTTGAAGAAATTAGAGGCCAGCCCTCAGCATTTCCTTTGCAATGCAGTGTTTTCATCCATACTGTTTGGTGTATCACTTCCTGTCATTACTCCTTTCTCTTCCCCACTCCCACAGCATCGGTGATTCATCTCCCAGGTCATGCTGGGGGTCACTTCCTTTAGACATCGCTCCCTCTGTTGTCTCTGCTCCCTCAGTAAATGAACTCGTTCAAACATCTCCATTTTACAAACAAAATCAAACTCCTTTCCTTTTGTATCGTCTTTCCCCCAGATGCTGCTCTGTCTTCTGCCCACCTGCTTTCACCTTCTTGTTCACCCCCACCCTTTCACCTCCTTGTACCCTAGTTTCTGACCTCCATCACTCCAGGAACATGGCCCTCAACAAGGTGATTCATGCTTTTTCCATGGCCAAAAGAGAGGTTCGGGCCCTTCTTATACTTGGTCTTTGTACCCTCTCTTTCTTTTGGACTCTTTTCTCTTGACTTGTAGGTTGTTGTTTTCCTGACTCATGTAGTATATTAGACTCTGTCCTTTTATCTGCATGGGCTCTCTTTTATCAGTGCCCCTCAGAACTCCATGCCTGGGCTGGTTCTCCTTTTCCATTTACATATTCCCCTTGAGCTGTCTCTTCCACACCCTTGGCAGGTGAACTATCACCTGTAGTGCAAAGCTGTGAAATTTCTGTCTCATGTCTAGTGTTTTTTGAATTCTTCTTCTTCTCTTTCTCCATCCTCTCCTTTTCCTTCTCCTCCTCCTTCTTTCTGCCAACTAGATATTTCTACCTGGATGGCTCACAGTCACTTCTGCTCAGCTTATGCACAATGGAATGAATATGTCTTTGTCTTTCCATCCCAGACCAAGTCTGTTTCCAGAACTCCCTCATCTCTACTTCCTGGAAAAGAATATCATGAGGTACGTAATTGCTCAGATCAGAAACTTGGGCATCCTGCCATACTCCTCCTTCATCTGTACCCCTGCCTTAGGTGTTTTCAGTAAATCACTAAGTTCTGTCTATTCTACTTCCTAATGATCTCTTGAATATAAGTTCTTACCTTAGCCATTGTAAAGCCTCATCTCCCTAACTCAGTCTCGCCTCGTTGAACGCCATCATCCACAGTAAAGCCAATGATGTCGAGCACCAATGAAATCATGTTATGTTCCTTCCTACTTGAAAACCGTCAGTGGCTTTCCTGGCTTACAGCTTCAAGTCCAGGTTCTTCACTACACCTTTCCCTTCATGGCCTCTAAACCTTATAGCTTGATTTCTCATCAGTTTCAGTCTTTGTACTTCACAAATTCACACTGAACCACGTGGCCTTCACAAAAATGCCATTCATTCTTTTTGTTTTGTTTTCATTCTACATCCTTTCAAACTCTCTCCCTCTGAGAGAGAAGTCCCCTATCTCTTTGAATTTCTGTTCATATTTAAGGCATCTCAAGGAAATTACCTACTTGGGTAAATCTTTTTCTGATTTCTCTAGATAAATTTATGTTCGGGCATTATTTAGTCCATTTTTTTATGGCTTGTGTATGTGTGTTCCTGATTACAAATGTTTCCATTCTGGAAAATATTTTAAAATGTAGAAAAATTGAGAAGATAAGAAATTACTTACAACTCACCACAAATTACTTACTTTTACCATTTTAGTAATTTTTTCTTTTAGTGTGTTTACAATAAACATTTATGTTTACACTTAAAGTCAATATCATATTGCATATATTGTTTCATGGCTGCTTTGTTCAGGAAAAAATTTTATGTTATTAAATATTGTTCAAAGGTTTGATTTTTATTTAAAAGATTTATCCTTATTTCCTGATTTCAAATGAAACATACTCATTGTAAATAAAATTTCAAATAATACAGAAATATGCACTTAAAAAGAGAAAGCCTTTATAATCCTGTCATAATTTTTAAATAGTTTGTGGTATGTTCTTTCAGAGTTTTTTTTATGCTTCTGCTACTTTAAATATTTAAGGTAGAGGGACCAGCAGATGGTGTAATGGTGATGTTGCTAGACTCACATGTAGTTGACTACAGTTCGAGTCTCAGACCCAGTGAATTAAAACTCACTCCAGGTGCGTGTGTGTTCATTCCCAAAATCCCAAGAGGAGAATGGAAGAGAAAGGATTGTAGTATGGCCATCTCCCACCCGGGAGGGGGGGGGAGCGGGTTGATTTCTCGCTTTCTGTCTCTCTGTCTCTTTGGTGAGTGCACACGTCCAATAGCAAAAACTCTCTCTTAAAAAATATTTAAGGAAGTATTAAACATTTATATTCACGAGATATGTTTCACACTGTTTTTGAACTTAGTTTTAAAAAAATTA